GGGATCAAGGAGAAATAGCAGGCTGTTGTGCAGCAAAGAGATGCTAACGCCATTTGGCAGAAACAGTTATTTGTACTGGCAGCCACAGCAAATCCATTATGGCTGGAGTTATAACTAGGTGGCAGTAAGCAAGGCAGTTCTGTACAGATGCTAGAGTAATAAGGAGTGAAAATGAATGTATGGTTGTAGAGAACGACGAGATGCTACAGCAAATATTTTCATGGAGCACCAACAGCTTCATAATGCTTTCTGTCTTTCCTTCAGAAAATCTTCTCATTTCTAGATGTCTCATGCTTATTCCTAGACAAGAAATGTAACTCACTTTTTTAGCCAGCCTGTCATGACATTGACAATTAAAAATACTCGCCTTCCCTCAACTGCAACAGATGAATCTTCCCGAGTAATAAATTACCCCAAAATACATGTATGGTCAAAACTCAGATTTGCCAAAGTTCACTATTAAAATCATCAAGCTCACAAGGATAAACATAATGCTCCCAAATATGGTGAGCAGAGACTTATGCTTGATCACATTTACAGATTCATAAAGAATTGAATACACAAAAATCCTTATCAAGACAAAAAGAAGTTACTCTGTGTGCATGTGTATATATGGGAAACTGTTGGCTAATACAAAGCAAGTTTTGTATTAGTGCTGGAAACCAGATCCCAGACACATAAATGGCAGAAAGACTTCTTCCCTGATGTTTGTTTTTTTAAAGCTACAGTGTGTATTAAGAATGACACAGCTCTGTCCCAGCAGAAAATTTATACTAGGTTAACTAAGAGTAATTTTCTTACATTTTCAAATGTGGAGGTTTGCTTTAATTCATGTGTGACCCATGTTGCCCACTCTCAGTCTCATGCAAACTTCTTGGTCAGCTTATTATCCAACAGTGGTTTGTCCCAAGCTCAGGAACTTCCCAATAACCTTCTCCCCGTGCTGGCTGGTAGCTCACCAGGACACAAGGAGAAAGGTAGTACCACAAAAGGTGTCAGAACACAGGCCCCTTCTGCTACTATTGCAATTCAGAGCAAGCACCACTGGCAGCAAAGAGCCCAACCTGCTTTTTTTCTGAGCAGCTGCCACTACAATTTGCTTTGAGTTTATACATAGAACTTTGTCCCCACTGGCCATCTTCTCCATCATACAACCAGGGCATGACATTTTACTATATTTAAAACTTGTTTATGGAATATTGTATAATTTCATCTTATATTCTAGGAAAATATAAATGTATTTTGCTTTACATTATCTCCCTATAAAAATATAGTGCTTTTTATACTCTATGAAGTATAAATATATATGCTTCCTCAAAAAAACAGGCCTAGAGCATTAGGCCAGCAAAGGTGAACATATACACCATAGGCTCATCTGTACTTTTGAAAATGTTTTTGTTTTGGAATGCCAATTAATCTGTAGTTTATTGTATTTCAGCCTTCAGAAGGTCACAGGATTTAACTCTTATACCCTTGCCAATGTCAGTTGGCTCATAATAAACATTTATATTTGTTTTATGACCCAGACCAGCTGGTGGGTTTTACATACAGTAAGAATGAGAAATCTGACAAAAACAAGTGATTCATCTTCATAATCTGAGTAAAGGCTGGAACCTTCAGTAGAATCTTAAAACTATTCATTTACTTGTTCAGGTTGCTGGGCTTGCTTTCCTTTTCTTATTACCATTGATTGGATGCAATCTTAAACATTCGGTACTTTCAGCAAGAAGGATTTATCTGATAATTGGAAAAAGCTTTCCTGGCAGGTAGCTTGCTGGATTTTCTCAATTTGATACATGCTCACGTTCTGCCACAATGGCAGAAGGGAGGAGCTACTGATGTGCTCATTTGCTTTAAACTGTTTTCCCTTTCAGTTGAAATCATTAAGTGAGACCTGAAGTGTAGAAATGATGTACAAAAAAGGATATAATTAATTTTGGTGCAATGCTGTCAACAGATTGGTGCAACGCTCTCAGACTTTGTGCTGAATCCATTTACAGTGATAACTGCGGTGTACTCCTGTTGGTGGCCTGTGGCCCAGATTTGGCCTGGAGGACAAACGCGTCAGGGTTGCTGCAAGAAATAGGGCACAATGTTCATGCAGCAAGGGTCGTCCTAACCACCATCTTCCACCTGCACCCAAACGTCACCCAAAGTCAGGGGCTGTTGCTTCCACAGTGGCCAGCAAAAGTGAGGTAGGTGGGGAGTTACAAGGTGGAAAAGGCACATGGCTGCTGAGGTTAAAATACTGCTGTAAGTTTATGCCTCAAGCTGGATGCCTTAGGGATAGCAAAAACATGTATCCCATTAGCTATCATTGCATACCTCAGTAGGAAAAAAGTCTGTACAGCATTGCCAGCAATGACAACTTGTGACCTGAAGGGACAGGGGCCTGGAATGTAATGGAAGAGAGGGGACAGAATGGGCTTTTTTACAGTTCCCACAAATTCAACAAATTGATCCACTTCGGACAGCCCTTTTTGTAGACCTTTCGTGGTTTGTTCTGGTTTGGAAGGTGGAGTTCATCTCCATGCTCCCCAGCACCCTCTGTCTCTTTGTGATACAGAAAACTCCTGCCCATCAGCAAGTCTGAAAGCTAAGTAACAGCAGACTATGCTAGTTAGTTTACGCTAGGTAGTTTACATAGTCAGAGGAGCTGTACTGATTTGTACAAGTAGGTCTTTACAGCATAACCACTTACACACAAGCCAAGTAAGACTCCCAGAGAAAGTGTGCAAGTAGATTGAATGAGACATGCCCAAGCCTTCCCAGTGAGCACGCATGGGTACCAAAAGCAGAGTACCTGCAGGAGCATTGGATAACTGGCTCTGTTTCGAGGATGTGTTAGTATGGGAAAACACTGTGCCAAGGCAGCCAAGCTCATTCTGGCATCCAAGTCTACTTCCTCAAAAGGGACTTGGTTATCCCACAAGGTTCTGCTTTCCATCACGCAGGCATACATGAAACACCTGCTATTTCAGAACAAACGTGCAGGCAGGAGGCTGTTTTTGCTGTAGTTATCTGCATGTGCTATTAATACTAGAGGTTCGGTTTTACCATTTGCTTAAGGCAGGGACATAATTGATTCTGGCTGCCTGGGTGCTGCAGCAGCCCTTGAAACAGCAAAGATCCCCCCTTACTGCACTCCTACGCAGCCATAACATCACCTAAGCACCCAGACTATTGTCCTCCATTTCAATAAATAACGTCCCAAGCCACAGGCTGCACTTCTCCAAACATAAAACCTTCCCCATGCCAATAGAAGATTCCATGAAAAGCTGAAGAACCTTAAAAGCTGAATAACATGCCAGGGAAGTGAAGTGACTTTGCCGTGACAAAATGTACATCCACTGTGAGAAAGTTATTCAGCATCCTGCAGTTCAGAATAACTTGCTTTCAAGTTCCGTAAGTCAAATTCACTGACAGCATCAGGCATCGATTCAAAACAAAAGAATATGAACTGAAATGGTAGAGAATGAATAATCTCTTGCATTCTTTTCCAATACAGCCTATACATGGTAAGGATTTTCCTTAAAGATTTGTTCTTTACTGCACCTTCTGTGACATTATGAATTATGGTGCAATAGAAAAATCAATTAAAATGACTACTGAATAGTTCTTTATCTGCCACCAAATCTTCTTCCTCCAGAAGAGATAATATTTCTACAGTGCATTATACATGAATTAGCCCTGCTGTTCTAAATAAATAGATTACATTTGAGATCCTTTAGCCTCCAGCTTCAGAAAAAGGGTGAGCAAGCAAACCATGGGTTTTATATAAGCACAAAATAACTTATAAATATGTAGCATTATTCTAAAACCTAATCTTTAAGAGATTCCCCGGGCTCCGTGATTTCTGATCTTTATTACAAATGACACGAACCAACATTTCTTTTCTATTGGTCACTCCCCTCTGCATAAAAGCAGAGACATACACTGCTTATCACTCAGTTCTCAGCCATCCTGCATTCAAAAGCTCTCCCTGGAAGAACAGTAGTGCATGCGGACAAATGACAACAACAGATAGAAGTTTTAAAGCACAGGGAAATTACTGCACACTTGAATTTCTGGGAAGCTTAGATACAGTTTCACAGCTGACGGTCGTTTTGTATTTCTCACCTGACCACAGAGAACCACCACTCTGATAATTGGGCTCCTGGTGTGTTGAAACCACCACTTAGCCCTGAAGATCAAAGCTGATTGCTTTGTTTGCTCCATCTCATACACCTACTTTCTCTTTTCTTATTCTTTGACTTCAAGTGCTCTGATATCTTTTCATCCATTTTTTATACAATGTTTACCATACTAGCACTGTAGTCAGTCCATAACTGACTCCTAAAGACTCCCGCAGCAGCTCAGATTAAAAAGAGAGAAACAAAAACTTTTGAGCTCTCAGAATGCTTGAATCCCGACCAAAACTTTGAGACTTACATATGCACTTTTCTTCACTCTTACCATGTATTCAGCAAGATTTGAGTAACCTCAGCAGACTTACCTAAAATAACTTTTTCTTTGAAGTAACATGGTGAAGAATATGAAAATAATAACCAAAATATTTTGATCAAATACAAAAGTGAAGAAAATATGAAAGGAAAGTAGCACCTCCACATATAGCAAGTGATATAAAAGATCTCTTTAGATTTGGCTGAGAAGACCTTACATAGGGCTTTGCATCTTACACAACCCTCCGAAACTTGTCACATGAAATGTCACAGGCTTATTAAAGCCTTTACTATACAGAACCTTCCTCCACTGAAACAAAGGAATTCATACTGGATATGACAATTTGTAGATCAGAGTTTCATAAGGCTGTTAGAAAAAAATCTGAAAGAACTATGCTCAGTTTATCATCTGACTTTGTCTCTAAACCATACTATGACAACATTTTATAGTCACTTTCCAGAGCCAAACTTTGAGAGTTTTCTTTTCATTTTAATTATTTTTTTTTTTTAAATACATCAGTGTTGTCTCATTTTAATTCTCAGAAAAAAAGAAAATACCTTCAAAGTCCCCATCTCTGGCTTTTGCTGCAAGTTCTGAGGATGATATACTTTCTTGACATAAAGCACAGTCTTCCAATGCTGCATTCCTTAAACCCTGATTAACTGTAAAACAAACCAAAAAGTACTGAAATTTGTATTTTCCCAATTTGTACTTAAAATATTCATGTTAGAACTTCTGGGATTAGATTACAGTAGCATCTATATGTACCTTTTTATACTTCGTGCTTTTTGTTTACCCTGACACAAACCATGATTTAAAAGTCTCCTCTATTCTTCTTTGGAATGACAACAGAAATGAAAGATGCTGTTATTACAGGACATACTGTCCTCTTCTAGCATTTTAGCTGCATCCTATATTTTATTTCCCAGTTCTTAACTTGGATCCTTTACAAAGAAGTAGATTATAAGAACAACCAGAGATTCCCTAGGCGAATCACACACATCAAATCACATATATCAAAGAGAAACTTCACACCAAAAGTCCCTGACTTTTGTGGATGTTTACTGGACTTTTGTGGATGTTTACTGTTGTCAACACCTTTTTTTTTTTTTAAAAATGTAACAGTTCATCCATTAGAAATTATTCCAACAAAGTACTATTGACTAATATATTTTCTAGTGATAATTCTTTACAGCTCCAGTTTCTTTATTACTCTTATTTGAATGTTCAGGAGCTCTCTGATCCTCTCTTTAGCAATTCTATCTAACCCAATTTTTTTCTTGCCAATGAAAAAAGCAGTCTCTTTTCACATCATGACATCCTGCCACCATAAAAACGTTGTGGAAGTTTCAACCACAAGTAATAGAGGACTGTAATGCATGTGGTGTGTATTATCCCACTGCAGAGTTGGGTTGGGTTGGATTGGAGGTTTTTCTGCTAAATTTAACCAACTTTTAACTTAGTTTTTCATATAAAATCTTCGATGCTTTTAAATGAAACTGGGAGAAAGGGAAAGCAAAAGTTTTCAATCATGAGGAAAGGGAGAGAAAAAAAAAAAGAGTGCTCAACCTTCAGATGCTGATAGTTCTAATCATAACGAAGGGCAAAAGTAATTGTAGTCTTGCTGGGATGACATGGTTATTTTTAGATAAGTTAGCAGACTTGCCTCTTTGAAAAAGAAATAATCAAAATGGTGACAGAGAAAAAATTTCTTGGATTGGCTCATGATCTAGATCTGGTTCCATTATCTTAATTATCTACAATTCAAAAGTGGATATTTTTCCATTTTGAAGCCAAATTCAGCATTCTGCGATTTCTACAAGACAGGTCAGATTTCAGCATTTTCCTGAGCATTCTCATTTTATAGTCTGCTCTTTTTATATGACTATTTAAACTTCACAGTCAAAGATACGTGTTTTGGTAAATTAAAATGCGTCCAGTGTGAAATAATAGCAGGGGAGCAGGGGGGGGAATCTATGAAGTCCAAACCCTGCATACATAATGTCATGACCATATGTGCTACAAACACTGTTCTGTAATACATAGGAATATGGAAATGAGCAGACACACTCTGAAGGCTTTAACTCTTTCAACATTCGCCTCAAGACATACTCCCGTGTACTTCTAGTGACTTCAACCTGTTTACAGTCTGTTTCCATGACTTTTTTTTAAACTTAGATCAACTCACTGTACAGTGAGCCCTGACAAAGTGTTGAAAAAATATTAAGGAAATTCTTGTCAAATAGTTCATGGATCCACATGAGGCTACCAGCAGAAATTCACTATAGAAAACAACTCTTTAAATCTCTTTACCTTTCTTTTGCTTTTCTTTGTCTTCTGTTTCAGGTTTGGTTGCCATAACTTCAAACAAGGTCTTTAAGATACTTCTCAAATCACTAGCATAGTTTGTCTGCAGCTGGTCAGCAACACCTAGGAGTTTGAGAAAATGGATAAATCATTACTAGACTATTACACCACCCTTAAAAAAAAAAAAGTATTTAAATTTGTCTGTTGCTACCAGTAACAGCCTTGTATTTATTTTTGAGGGGATCACTTGCTTGTGTTAGGAATAAAAACTGAGCATTTAAACTAATTTTCCATAATGGCCAAGTTACATTCTGGCCTTTATGCTACCTGCAATTTGATACGTATCTTCCTTGTCCTTTGGCAGGAAACACTGAGAGATTTCTTTTGCATCAAAATACAACTGCTGCATCAAATTTCTTCCCTTGAAGACACAGGGCATCACCAAGAAGAAGGAAGCACTTTGAAGTCAAACCTGTTGCATTCCCAAACTCTTCATCACTACAGGTCTAAGATGTCTGCATCTCTGATTCTGTAAGCTCCCACCAGGTAACAGATCTTTCTAGACCAGTCTGCAACTTAGGCCCCGAAACACAGTCTTCCTGCAACTTCATCTCTAGTTTGTTCTACCATAACTTTATGTGCACCAAAAAAAAAAAAAAAAAAGATGAATGAATAGTTTTTACATTCAGAACAAAAGGCTACTTTCATACCTGAGATACAGACAAAAAGGCGGTGAATGAGATCATTACTGCCATGAAATCTGGATCTGATCTTTTCTCGGGTGGCGATTTTAGCAGCCTGCAGAGCGAGCTGGATTTCTTCCTGATCGAGGTCATCAGATGAACAAGAACTTGTCATTAAACTACTGTCGGAGAAAAAAAATTTAAAGAAAAGTAATGAAAATCTTTACTCAGTTGTTCAGAATGTTCAGCAAATCCTAAAGGATTTATGACTCAGGCAAGACTCTATAGCAAACCGGAACTAATTGCTGTAAATTCTTGTTGAAGTTAATCAACATGCAATCAATCACCATCATGTTTGATTTTCACTCTGTGGCATAGCTGCAAAAAACTTTTAAGCAGAAAATCATTTGTCTGTATTTTATTGCATTTTCCTTAGCTATTACAAAGTGCTGTGCCATTTTTCACATTAACTTCTTCTAAAAGCTCAGTTCCACCAAAAATTCAAAAGGGGAATATCAAGCTAAACATGAAGGTCAGTTCTGAAGTCAACTTAGAAATTTATTAATGTGGAAGTTAATTTGAAAAAAAGAATTTCCGAATTATGTTACCTTAAAATAGTGAGAATAGAATCTAAATATAATCTTACATGAAAAAAATGGAAAGAAGGGTAATAAAATACAATTTACACAGTAGAGAGGTAGATTAGTCCCCTTATATACTTAACTGTAGAAATTGCTGAAATGTCCAACTATTGTAATAGAATGGCTCATCAACTCCAAAGAGATTAAAATGTGTCACCAAATGTCTACTAGAGATTTAATTTTTCTTTTAAAAACCAGATACATACTTGCCAGCCATTTCCACCACCACCACCCCCCTTTATGGAGAAGAAGCCTGAAACAACCTGAGACTGCAGAGAAGCTTTGGTGGGAATCCAGCTTCTTCAAATATCAGGAATTACCTAAACTATTTGTAAATCAAGACGTATTTTTTTAAAAAGGAAGTATTTAGGGAAAATGTAGCACTTTGTTAATGGAAAAAACCTTAGTTGGGTGTAGAGCACAGGATTCACTGTTGACTGAAGGAGATACTCAGAGACAGGGGAACACTAAACCATTTTCCCACATGATGGAAAGAACTTAATCTCGCCAATGATTACAAAAAACTAGAATATTTTACTTATAATCATAATTTGGTTGTCCAAAACTCCAGCACACTCTACTACGCAGACAACTACTATGTTAAAAAAGAAGTTACTGACTGCATAAATAGCATGCATAATGAAGGAAGTAGTTTCTAACACATTCCGAGTTCAATCTGCTTTTATTAGGTGCTGAAACATTCACCACCTTACAGATCCCATCCCTATGGCAGTATGCATGAACAGTTATTGCAGGATAAGACATAGGTAACATTCATAATTATTTATAACAAAATTTTATGGGATATAGTTTTGAAATTCTACCTGTAGGCTATACAGGCCATCCTTTAAAATGTAAAAATGAATTTATTAGGCCATAAAATCTTAAAAGCCCTAGTAAAAACTTTCAGAAGAACTGAAAATAAATAAATACTGGAGATTAGTTATTGATAGAAATATCAATGGAAGATGTGTAGCATGAGTATCTTAACTGGCTTCCCATTCTTTCAAAGACAGAGTAAAGAGCAGGCCTGCCAGAGACTCATTTTGTTCACGTTATCTATTGCTATTGACAAAAACAAATTCTTGTGAAAAGATGTTAGTTCTATGTTTACAGTTCCCTCAGCACTATGACTGACTAAGTTTATTAAAGATACTGAGAACCGAGTGAGAATTCTCTCTCTCAATTTTTCCTCTGCTTTTCCATAGGGGATATTTTTTCTATATATATATATATTATAATAGCAAGCCCATCAGTGTGGAAAGGTCTGTGTTGAGGACAATGAAAAAAAGTTATGTAAGAACGTGGCTTATGAAGGAGTAAACTGAAAGGTAGTAAGAGCCAGGAAGCGATCCCTGATTCGCAATGGTATGCAGCAGATGATTGCCTATTTGCTCACATATACAGATAAAGGAGTTTGTCTGCCTCGTAACATGGCCAAATAAGGTCTACTTTTTTCCTGGTTTTTAAAAGAATTGATCTTACAGTGATATACACATTTGCACTATAAATTGCTCTCCAAGGCAAGCATGGACCTCATGACAGAGACAAATGGCGTCTGTATATAATTACATAATCCCAATACGATGGTCTCTCTGAAACTCCCAATAAGCAAAAACCTTAGTGCAGGGGAAAGCAGGGGTGCTGATTCAAGGATGACTCTTCCCTCCAAATCACAGTTGAAGAAATATTTCAAAGTAAGGTGTTAAGTGGGTAGAGAGCTGTGAAGAGTGCTTTTCAAGAATATAAACTACTTAGTCCTTTCCCATTTTGCAGAAAAGAAGAAAGACTCATTCCACAATTCTGACCAAGCTCTGACCAATTTTAATAATTCTGACCAAGTCTCCTCCAACTGGGAGGAGTGCAGTTTTACCTACTTCATAATTCCTCCAAGGAATGTGATTTGACTTACTTCTGTTCCAGGCTATTCTGTGTTAGATTTCATGTTGTGTCATCAACCACAAGACTGGCTGGAACTTTTTTGTCCTAAAAATCCCTAGCACAGAGCACATACAAATTTCTTCAGCACTGGGGGATGGAAGGTCAGCATGTATGCATACTCCCATTTATGACATACTTTCATATGCACAGTCACATGTAAAGTACAATATCCATACACGAGAGGTTCAGAAAAGAGGGTATTTTGTATTCACGATTGCTTGTGCCGTGGGAAAGAGAAAAGTGAACGTTCCAGAATAATTTAAAACTGGACCTGAGAATCACTACAGAGTTAGAAACAATTACTCTACCTTTACCAAAAGGACCAAGTCAGATTTAGACAAAAACGACTCTTACAGAATGACTAATGACCATCTGTTCTTTACTTTAAAATATATCTTACTGTTAGAGAATGTAGCCAGAAAACTAATATTGTAGAGGAGTCAGAAATACTATAAGAACAGAAATATAGCAATTGTTTCAGATAAACAGCAAAAGAGACAGCTTTTCTTGTAACAGGGTATCCCAAACAGCAGTTATTGCATCTATGCAAATATTAAAGATTCTCTTTATTTTTAAAAATTGATATTATAGAAAATAAACCTGAATTTTGATCTACAGAGTTCAGCTTACCTTTTCTCCAAATTATTCTTTCAAAGAAGTTATTTTTTTGGTTCTATAAGGAATACCATTCCTACTTGGCTTATCTAACATGCATAAATTGGCTCAAAATTCTCAGCTGGTACCAGATGTGTAGGAAGCATTTCATTAATGTCAGACTACACTCAGATCTGGAATGTTTCACTGAAGATATCTGCAGAATCAAGTATCACTGCAAAATATAAATAGCCATACGAAGTAGCTAGAGACAAGTCCTCATTTTCTCAACTTCTTGGTTGAAGGGAACCCTGCATTACTCAAGGAATTAGATTAAGAAGAGATAAGACTAAAATAGGCGTGGAATTGCCCTTGTGAAATGTTTATCCTATAAACAATGCTTATCATGTATTTATTTTTCATATTGTAAAAACATTGCAAAGTTAACACACCTGAAGGCGAATACCAAGAAATAAGACAGTATGTAAAAGATTGATTCCAAACAGTAAACCTGCTTATACATTATAAAGGAACAGGTACCCTCTGGCAGATACAATGAATTAGCTTTTTACCTAACTTAGCTAGCAATTTTAAAACTACTCTCCATTTGTCATGTTAGAAGAGCAGCAAGACTCTTTCAGCACTTTAAAGATGTATCTCTAGAACAGTTGCCTGGTGTCAAAGCTTGACTGTGAAATGTAGTCAAATACGTACAAGCAAACAAAACCCAATAATGTAATTGTACACAATATCATCTTTCACCCATGGAACAAATTTGCTTTATAGCTTTTAAGTTCCAAAGGATACTTGTGAGCCAGGTTAAGCAACAGTATCCATACTTAATGGAAAGCAGGACCATGGAACAAGAAGATTGACTGACATTTTCAGAAGTGGCCAGTCATTTTAGGTAACCATCTGTGATACTGTAGGCCTTGTGCTGAATTTGTTGGGCATTGACACTCATCCAAAACTTTTGCAGGCAAATCTATGTTATTGTCTGCACACAATTTCTAAAACTACTTCAGTAATTGGTACATTCATCCCACTGATACTCCTGTAGGCTGTAACTGGAAACTCCACCACTAAACTGTCAACCTGTCTTTCCCAAGCTATTAGTCTTACTTTTATTACTCTTACTTTCATACTTCATAAGACTGTAGTCAACTCTGGGTTCCAATTTGCAAAAAAAACCCCAAACAACTGCTCCAAAGGCCATCTAAACATCAGACAATAGTTGGGGAAAGACCAAGGTTGTATACATGAGGAATGACAAGAGGAAAATGATAGGGGTTTGGTATGTATGACTCCGTGGCAGTAAAAAAAAAATTACCACTTCCCATTCTGCTTTTTGCAGTACCTCTAGTGTTTCTTTTTGGATACTCTCACAAGAAACACAATAAACGGGAAGGTTAAACCCGTTTGGTTTCTAACATGTACTAGTTTTGATATGGTTGGGAGGAAAACTGTGAGATTAATGGTTTCTTACAATTATTTTAAGTGAAGGGGGTGGCTACACACTCAATTTTAGAGTCATTTAAACCAAATCCACAACATGTCTTATTTGAGTAACTGCATATAGTTATTTAGCTAAGGACTATATTTTAAGGAGTGACCCCAGAAGCTACATTTAAAGCTTTACATTGAAAAAAGCTTTAATTCAGAACTTTATTTCTTGACTTTTTAACCCTAATATTTTATTAAGTCAAGAGGGTATTTAAATGCAATTCCTTAGGTATTTTCTCTCTATTTTAAGAGAAAAGGCTAAAGAGGGAAAAAACCCCAACCCATAAACTTCCCAAGGCTTCAAAACTTTGTCCTGAGAAAAAAATAATACAAAAAATCCCTCTATCAGGAACAATCTAACTAGGCACCACCAGGAGTGGACTTGGCTAGACTACAGTATTATAACATATATTAGCAATACCTAGCTCCATACATGTTAGGATATGTGCTAAAAGCCCCATCTGCTGTCAACCTTTTGAATTCCACAGTAGGGGAATTA